TCATTTGGGAAGACAGTGGCATGACACAAAACAATTTTAAGTTGTTCTTTTTCTAGCTGAATAACTCAAAGTGTTTTTCAGTTTTTCTTTCGACAAATGGTGTCATTATAGCTAAACGTCTTATCTGAAAACTTAAAAAAGAGAAACTCAATTTAGTGTTTATTTTAGATATTAAACATTTTGCGGGAAGGAAAATGATGCTGTTACGATTTAGAAAATTTTGCTGTTACACCTATATATATATATATATATATATATATATATATATATATATATAAGGGTGTGATGGGTAAATTGTCCCAATTTTATATTTTTAATTTCGCGTGTGGGCGTTGTTCGTTTTTGGTTTTGTCGATTTGAACAGTATAGTAGGGTCAGTTGGGCACAGTCTGCGAGAAAAAAAGCACCATAACACAATTCACACCACCAGAAATCTGGAAATGGCATGCTCTATTGCTTGTAATTCGCGCCGAAACCTCCAATACGGACATTTCAGATGGTTTGTGTGAAAATCTGAGGATAGTTAAGAGGATTCGGAAAGAGTTGGATGGGTCTAATGGTGATTCCGAAAGTGTTTGGCGTAACCACGTGATGGCAAAGTTATGCCTCCATCCATATTCCCACATAGCCTCAGACTCAATACGGGTGCCTTCATCAAGTGCCTAGAGGAGGTAGTTTTGACCTGTATCAAGAGGGTGGCTGCAGGAAGAACTGACAACAGGACTTTGAACCATGCCATACAAGCTGGAGAACCCAGTCATGGCTGTCAGACAATTTCTTTCACATCCCCATCTCCACTTACATTTGGCCAACTAACTTTCCTGGCTGCAACCTCCTTCATTATGATTATCGCAGTTGAGCGAGGGACCAACAAAATTCCTTCTAACACGAAAGATGAACTCAAGGCAAGGATTATGGCAGCATTCAGCAACTTAAACAATGTGACCGTGCAGAAGAGTTACAGGAGATTCCAAAGTCGCCTGGAGGCCGTGAATGGCGAAGTTCTTGAATAAATTTATTCTTTAGTATTTCAAGATATTTTTGCCTAATGGTGGTAAATACATCTGTTAGAATGAGATATCAGTGTTAATTTAATTTTTGCATAATATAGACGACAATTTATCCATTGCACCCACTGTGCGTGTGTATATATATATATATATATATATATATATATATATATATATATATATATATATATAATAATAATCTTATAAATATATGTAAGTATACTCTTCCGGAAAAACCTTAGGTGTATTGGCTTGTAAATGAACAAACCAATACCCAAGGAAAAATAAGGAATAAAAAACAAAGAACTAAGAACATGTAATTCAGGTCAAAACAATCGACCAGAATCTAAGTTCAGAGTCCAAAGAAAAAAAACTCCAAAACGAGTAAAAATAATTAAGCCAAGTGCTCAATACATAAAGTAGAGCAAATCTAACTATGAACCTAAAGAACCAGGCAAACCTACCTGACGATCCTCGTAGGTGAAACCTAGGTAGGTTTGCGTGGCTCTTTAGGTTCCTAGTTATTTATATATATATAATTATTGTTCTGATGGGATTTGGTACCATTCTCTGGTACCATTCCTTTACAAATTTAATCACAACCAAATTGCAGCTAAAACTAAAAAGGAAGCCATGATCGCCCACGTCCTGAACACACACTGCATACAAAGGTCATAACAATCCAAGTAAATAAAGTGAGTACTTTGAAACGAATTCAGGCGCTATTATTAATTTGCCGTTTCTATTAAATTGTTGGATACTTCCCTTATCCATAAATGTAAATCTACTGCCTGTTTGGAATTAGGCAGAATGGATAGCACCTGTCCAAGTATGAAACGTTGAAGAAGGCTGTCATTTCCTGGAATTAAGCAGAAACTGTTAAATCTAGTGGCCAAGGCTGTGACCATCAAACAGATCCGTTAGATAAATGGATGTTGTGCGAATATCAAATCTGACCGGGTTAACTGATTATGAACGCTCTGACTTCTGATTGGTGGTGGATCGATGACCTTTTGTAGAAATCGATAATTGATCGTTGAAAGTGAGTCAAATCGAAACCTAGTCCAAGAATATCGTCACCGATCAAAGAAACGCAAGAGGCAAAATGTTTATCGATTTTTTTTTATTTTCAGATGCGGAATATTTAGACTTTTAACATAGATTTTCATCCATCATGCGAAAATCATTCATTTGCTTAAAGTCTCCAAAATGCCTATCATTATAATAGCCGTCTATAAATCCGTATGTAGACCGCATTGAGACAGTGGTTAACAAGCTAATCTAAAAGACAATAAATATTCTGGGTATCTTAAGTTTCAATGGGGATTCTGTCTTCATCAGGCTCTGTATAACTGGCGCTACGGAATCACGAAAAAAGAGGATTATCGATTGGCGAAAAGCACATCCTTGAACACTTCGCTAATTCCATTGCAAATAATCAAATAAGCTCCATTCTTTAGTAACAATAAATCAGACGGTAACAGCTAATACGCATTTGTAACGTCCACATGATTAAATCACCATCATTACCCCTGTATTCGATTGGTAGGAAGAAACTTCTACACAGAGAGCTTCTTCCCCAGATTCGGTGCCATGTGGAACAAGCTCCAGCATGGTCGCTTCACCGAACAATACAATCTTAATATATACATGGTTACGGTAAATCGCCACCTATACTATCAGTTGCCCTGTGTGTGTGTGTGTGCGCGTGCGCGCGCGTTCTATAATAATGCATTCAATTATCTGGGCCGTTAATTCTACTGCTTATAAAAATACAGGGATGTCTATACAAACACGGGTATCTACTAAAACAACATTTATATTGATGAGTCATATCGGGTTAGTGATATGTAATATTAGATTCAAAAAGATTTTCTCTCTAACGTTCCCTCATTTTTAAATTTATTCACCGTTCTCTTGATAATGTACTTTGAAGAAGATGGAAGACAGAGTATATATATATATATATATATATATATATATATATATATATATATATATATATATTCTCAAAATCATATATATATATATATATATATATATATATATATATTCTCCAAAATCATATATATATATATATATATATATATATATATATATATATATATATATATATATATATATATATATATACATTTTTGAGAATATACACTTGAAGTGTTAATTCTGTTTAAAATGTTTACACTAATAGATACGCAAACATGTATTCACATTTTTTATATGATCATTTATGTGATTTTCTTGCCTACATCACTTCTAATTCTTAATTATTATATATTTTTATATTAATCTTTAATAATATTATTATTATTATTATTATTATTTTTATTATTATTATTTTATCCTTATATATATATATAAAGTTGTTCTGTAAATTTGTTCTTTATTTATCTCTTGATTTCTTTATTTAATTAATGTTTATATTATTTTTTTGTTTAATTAACTTACTTTATTTTATTGATGTCGATTATAATTATTATTATTATTAATTAGAAAATGTGATGATGATAATAATGCGATGATGAGTTTTTGTTGTCTGAAATGACATGACTATTTGACATATTACCGTATCTATTTTACGTCTGATCACCTTCTCTCTTACCCTGTATATTAACTTCTTCAGCCCTTAAAGAAAATGTATTTCTAGGTCAGTCTATCGGCTCATATTTAATTCTTCCACAACTGATCCCAAAAACTAATCGTAATGTAAGAACGATAATATTTTGTCTGTGGTGAGGATGTCGGAATATTATTGATATAGAATTCTTATAATGCAATCGACCACAATATTTATACGCCCAGCAATATCAAAGTATCCATAGAATTTTGTCGAATAGCACCAAGATTGCGCAATGCTTCATTCTGCAAAGTGGAATATAGGAAAGAATTATGGAACTCGGTTTATCTGTTCTATCCAATCCGCCATATTCACCTGACCTTGCAGTAACAGGTTATGACCTTTTTAATTGCTATGAAACGTTTTGATAGGGACAACTTTCGTTAATTTATAGAGTATGTCAAAAAAAATTTCACATTAAAATCTGTGGAATTTTATTCAAACATTATCGAAGAACTCCGTTATAAGTCGCCAGAACTCATTGCAAATTGAGTCAAATATAATTGTACTGTATTTTTTAAGAAGAAAGTTGAAAAACGCAAAATGGAATTATTTATTACTAGAAAAAAGAAATAACGTTCAGATTAAAAGATGACAGACAGGATTTCAGTAATGCATATTGTATATACTTTAAGAAATTACATAAAAACTACTTTCCACAATAGAATACTTTACAAAACTAGAAAAATAATGAAAATCCCATTTCTTCAGACCTAAACACAGATGACACACGGATGTGATTGATTTAATTTGTTTTTTACGGTATGTCAACCTTTTGCGGGTTATTTTTAGATTGTAAGAATATTTTGAAGATACTTGCTTGGGTTTGTTAGCAAATGTAGTGGAGATTTAATATTATGCCAAGAGAGAGACTATAACACTCATAGACGTCATGGAAGAAGTCTATTTCTTGTAGTGCAGTAGACATCACCATAGCTATATATATATATATATATATATATATATATATATATATATACAGTGTATCAAAAAAGAGAGTACATCCCTCACATTTCTTCAAATATTTAAGTATATCTCTTCATGGGACAGCACTGAAAAAATTACCTTTTGACACAATGAAAAGTAGTCTGTCTGCAGCATATATAACAGAGTTAATTTATTTTCCCCTCAAAATAACTCAAAATATAGCCATTAAAAGCTAAATCCCTGGCAACAAAAGTGAGTACACCCCTAAGAAACTACACCCCTAAAAAGTGAGTACACCCCTAAGAAACTACACCCCTAAATGTCTAAATTGAGAACTGCTTTTCATTTTCCCTCCAAAATGTCATCTGACTCATTAGTTCAACTATGCCCATGTGTTCATGGGGAGCAGGTGTATTCAAATTTGTAGTACAGCTCTAACACTCTCTCTTACCGGTCACTGAACGTTCCAACATGGCACCACATGGCGAAGAACTCTCTGAGGATCTTAAAAAATGTATTGTTGCACTACATAAAGATGGCCAAGGCTAACAGAAGATTGCCAACACCCTGAAACTGAGCTGCAGCACAGTGGCTAAGATCATCCAGCATTTTAAAAGAGCAGGGTCCACTCAGAACAGGCCTCGGGTAGGTCGTCCAAAGAAGCTGAGCGCACGTGCTGAGCGTCATATCCAAATGCTTTCTTTGAAAGATCGGCGTAGGAGTGCTGTTAGAATTGCTGCAGCGATTAAAAAGATTGGGATTCAGCCTGTCAGTGTTCAGACCATACGCCGCACACTACATCAAATTGGTGTGCATGGCTGTCACCCCAGGAGGAAGCCTCTTCTGAAGGCAATACACAAGAAAGCCCGCAAACAGTTTGCTGAAGACATGTCAACAAAGCCCATAGATTACTGGAACCATTCCCTATGGTCTGATGAGATGAAATTTAATTTGTTTGGTTCTGATGGCCTTAAGCATGTGTGGCGGCGACCAGAAAGATAAGTGTGTCATGCCTACAGTCAAGCATGGTGGTGGGAATGTCATGGTCTGGGGCTGCATGAGTGCTGCAGGTATTGGAGAGTTACATTTCATTGAGGGAAACATGAACTCCAACATGTACTGTGAAATACTGCAGCAGAGGATGATCCCCTCCCTCCAGAAACTGGGTCGCAGAGCAGTGTTCCAGCATGACAATGACCCCAAACACACATTCAAGACAACCACTGCTTTACTGAAGAGGCTGAGGGTAAAGGTGATGGACTGGCCAAGCATGTCTCCAGACTTGAACCCAATAAAACATCTTTAGGCCATCCTCAAGCAGAAGGTGGAGGTGTGCAGAGTCTCAAATATCCACCAGCTCCGCGACGTCGTCATTGAGGAGTGGAAGAGCATTCCAGTGACTACCTGTGAAGCTCTGGTAAACTCCATGCACAGGAGAGTAAAGGCAGTTTTGGATAATGATGGTGGCCACACAAAATATTGACAGTTGACATGTTGTATGTTAATATTGACAACTTTTCCTAAGGGGTGTACTCACTTTTGTTGCCAGGGATTTAGCTTTTAATGGCTATATTTTGAGTTATTTTGAGGGAAAAATAAATTAACTTTGTTATATATGCTGCAGACAGGCTACTTTTCATTGTGTCAAAGTGTCATTTTCTCAGTGTTGTCCCATGAAGAGATATACTTAAATATTTGAAGAAATGTGAGGGGTGTACTCACTTTTGTGATACACTGTATATATGAAATGTTAAGTACTTGCCCTCATATCAATTTTTTTTTATTAAGTGAATATGAGATCGGATAAAAAAATTTAATTTAAAACCCAACTGTTATTCTTAAGATACACTCGCCTCCCTACCCCCCTTACATCTAAGTTATATATTTGCTTTTCTTCTTCTTTACTGTATACCTTTATAATACACTTGCATTCCAGTTCCTTTTCTTCACTTTTCTTTTTTTTTTCTTCTTCTTCTTTCTTCTCTCCGTCCTGGGTATGACGATAAACTACATTCGCGTCATGGGTAAGACGATAAACTACGTCCAGCAGCAAGGCCTCTGATCAGAAGGTATTGAGAAGCATGGAACCACCTCTTAATTGCTGGTGTTCCCACGTCTACCCTGGCCCGGGGTGGTAACACCTGTTAGGATCCCAGCTATGGGCAAATAGTTAACAACCAAATTTGTGTAAGCGTCCTCGGCATGACGATAAACTGCATCCGTGTCGTGGGTAAGACGATAAACTACGCCCAGCAAATAGGCCTCTGATCATAAGGTTTTGGGGAGTGTGGAACCAGGTAGCACCTGTTAAGGTCCCAGCTATGGGCAAATAGTTGAGCCCACAAGCTGACTCAAAACATTATGAAAGTGTAAAAATAGATTTTAATACCAGAAATAATTGTTTAAAAAATTAATATCAGCAATAAATATTTGAAAAAGGAAAATATTACCAGAAATAAAAAAAAACTTGTCAGCATTAAATAACCCATTGAGGTTAATATGCCACAAAAACAAAAAACAAACTATACATCTCTTTAAAAATATTACCAGCTATACATTTTATTTAAGAAAAAAAAAAGGAAATTTTGTCGGCATTAAATAACCCAATGTGGTTGATATGCCGTAAAACAAAACAAACCAAACCAAACTTTCTTCTCTATACCCCCTTCCTTTCTATAACACTCAATGTCATGTGGTTCGATCGTCATGCGCCTGTAAATTTATTTTTGAAAAATAAATATGTAGCGTTCTTTGTGGGCTTTTAAAAAACACTTAGGTGTTCATTTTTAAAAATATCGTCCGGAGAGACTGTCAGATCGGAACCAGGGTCGCGTATTTTGATTGAACTCCTGATTTAGATAGATAGATAGATAGATAGATAGATAGATAGATAGATAGATAGATAGAAACAGACTGAGTTGTGTGTGTTATTTTTTTAATAAGCATAGTTTGAACGCTGTTTTCCAAACAATGGCAAACTATACCTAGGAAGGATATTTGGGTCCTGCAAACTCTTTCTCCACGAAATTAAATTTTAAACCGGTTGCTTTTCGACTTTCGTTAAAAGAAAATACTCGAAATCATTTTCAGTTACATGTCCAATTCTTTGTATTTTCTTTCTTTTGCATGAATAAATATCTCAATTGATTTAGTTTTCTCTTTCATTTTTATTTATATTTCTTGTGATAGCTTTATTGAAAGTATCGTCAAAATTAATCTCTCAGCGGTTTTATTTATTCTTAATACATTCTCACTTTTGCGGTGTTTTCTAGTCAATATTTACTTGCCTATCCCACGAGGGAAAGATGTGGCACAAGGTCGAGTTTTACGTGTGTTTTCTGAGTCAGTAGGCTCGGCCAAAAAATGCCAGTAGAAACTGTAAAAACAGAATCGGGTTGGTCAACCTGCCCGAACGAAACTCTGCCCTTCGGCAGAGGCTCGTCCTGGTTCCTCTCTGCCCGAAGGCAGAGAGTTCGTCCTTCTGATATTTATTCGTACAAGAAGTACAAATTGTGGCACAAGGCCAAAAAGGGAAGGGGTAGAGGCTGGTCAACACTAACTATCTTATACCTAGCTAATCAGATTCACGACCCATTCATACATTACAATTTACCCATTCACCACAAGAACTCATCCATCACCGTTCAATCCGCCATCCACCATAATACCACATCTTCTCCAGGGGAACCTACAAAAACGCGCCCCACGCCATAAAAATTTGATGAAGATATACAATATACCTAAAATTCTAATAGTGATAAAATGAGAGGGGAGGGGAGATGAACCCAATAATAAACTAAAATCAAAACAAAATGCAAACTAAATATAACTGATGTTAGTAGGGACCGTCCAACCCTCAAAAAAACAGAGGGCCGCTGTATTCTGCCTAGAGGACAGAATCAAGAGGCGCTCTCGCTAAGGAGGTGGGAAAAGGATAAAATATTATGCGGGAGTGGGAAAGTATAAAGCTGACCCAGTCGAGATGAAAAAGGGGACCAAAACAAACTGGGGAGGTTGGGAATCTCGACTTGGATCATAACCAAAGAGCAGCCGGGATACAGGCCAGGACCAACATTTACTCACATTAACTAGGTACACTGAAGCTTTTCTAACCTAACCAAGGGGAGGGTTCCACAGGAAACCACCCCGATGTGCCATAGGTTTGACCTAGAAGAGAAAATCAAGGCTAGCCCCGGTCACACACGAACCAAGCTCGCCTCTTTTACCCACCTTTCGCTAAAGACTGTCGAATGCAATCGTTTTCTATCAGTTCTAATCTTCATCTTGAGCTGATGCTCAAAGAATCGGATCAGATCCTGATGAGAAAAGACGGTCACCTCGCAAGACTTCCTCCTTCCGCCTCGTCCAAATCACCATTCGAGCCGTGGTCAGCAGCGTGAGAAACACCATCCGTTTCACCCCGGAATACAGGGGCGACACATTGTCACACGCGTATGCACGATCAATGAACACAAGCTGTTCGGGAGCGAGACGAGCCGTCAGCTCGCCGACATGGTCCCATAAGGGGCGGACCGGGGGCAATGGTAGAAGGCGTGCGCAGCCGTTTCCCTCTAAACCAAGGCCACACCGTTCACAGTCTGGCAAATCCGCCAAGCCCCATATGAAAACCTTGTCGTTGAGAGGCAGCCGATTCCGAGCCAATCGCCAGCTAAGCGAAAACTCAGGGTTACTGAGGTAATCCGCCGCTGGCGCCCAAGACCAGTAGGGAGCGATACTCCTCCTCCGACAAGCCGAGCGTATCTCGTAGGGTATCCTTCGCGGGCCCCTCCACTAATTCACGATAGAAGACCTTCCCTAGGCCGAGAAAGGTCACTGGACCAGGGAACGGCTCTCAAGGCCGACCGACACTCGCGAAGGAAAACCGATTGATCCCGGGGTTTACGACGGCGCTCAACCCGCGAGATGGGGGGACTGATGGTAAGGCTAGGGAACGCGTCCCTAACAATCCCCTCCAGAATCGGATCTCCTCCAGTCAATGCGCGGCGTAGGAAAGCCAACCTAGAGGCACGGATGTGACTCAGCAGGTGCGGCATTCCCAGCCCCCCATGACACGGACGTTTAATGCAGACTCGTCTGTCGATCCGATTACCGCGTCCCCTCCATAAAATGGAGGATAGCGATCGCTCGAGCGCCTTCCTGTGGGTCTTACAGAGAGGAAGTACGGACAATCGATAAAGAATCAGGGGGAAAATGTATGTAACACACACCTCCGCCCTGCCCTTCACGGACAAGAGAGTTCGTCCTTCTTGCTGGAACAGATTCCAGCAAGTCGGTTTTATCTAGTCTGTGACTTAGAGGTTCTGCCTCCATACTTATTAGTAGTCACTAGACTCTATGCAAAATAAGGCAAGTTCATTTTGTCACTAAAAAAATAACATCTGGAAATAAGTTTTACGCTTACCCATTTTTTGTGACAACGCAAATAATTTTATCTGTAATTTATGCAAAGCATAAATTATAACCAAAATGCAACTAAATATGGCTGCTTATTTTAAAAAAAATGCATTGTTATTTGGTTTACTTCAGCAAAGCATCAATAAATTAATTTCACACGTGATACATGCTTGGACCATCATTACTCTTTCCATCTACTAGGCACAAGACTTTCCTGCAGTAGGTTGCCGTTTCATTCTACGGTAGATTGGATACCAACAAAGGCTATAAGAACCAGCCTGTCCTGTTATTTAGTCCATAGCTGGGGAAAGAAGTGATTGATAAATACGTTCCCCGACGAAATGATATATAGTGACTGACTAAGATTCGAACTCGGCTATCCGACTTTTCATTCGGAGTCGATACTCGTTGCACCAGAACGCACCCCCAGCAAAGAGGCTTGGTTGTAAAATATAAATAAAAAATGATTTATCGTCTTGATAAAATTATGCTGAATCAAATTATTGATACTTTTGAGAATGATTAGTTAGGAAACGCCAAACGTCGTCATTGAAATATATTGACGACTGTTTCAATACTTTTATTCGTGTAACTGCTACATTAAAGACGAAACTGATCTATAACCTATTTAACTTTTCATTAATGCGCTTAGTCATTACTTACTATATTCACATCTAAAACAGCCAATCAATCGGCGACTTTTGCTAGAGCCCTTCAAAGTTTCTTTTATCTTTTGCTCCCCCCCCACACTTTTCCCCTTCTCTCCATCACGCAAGGTTAACAGTAATGGCGTCTAACATAAATTTCAATGATAAGCATTCAACCAATGAAACAATCAACTGAGACCCGAAACGTTTTACAACGAGAACTGCATAAATAATCATTTAAAGGATTTTATCAATTTCTACCGCGTGTGATCCGGGTCGGTTTTAATACTATCGCTCGTGTAGATTGCTGATAATCAATTCTAACTGGCTTTTATCATTGATCGCTTCAGTGAGGCGCAGATTTCTGCATGTTATACATGTATTTATACTAGTTCCGCTGATCTAGAGGCTGTTGACCTAATCGAACTTTTAGCAGCATTACATTTATATAAATACAGTTTCATTGAATAGATTTCTGGTAGCATTTACTTGTATAGCACAGATTTCATATCGAAGGTTAGGGCTCTGAAAATAAATTCAAATTACAAACATTTTGGAACGGGGGATATTGAAGGATTCAAACGTCTTCATTTTGTTCCTTGTGTCTTTGAATCTTCACAAAGAGTATTCTTTTACTTGAATAGCTCTTTTTAGTGGTGTAAAGAGATTACTGTTAAATAGTGGGAGCTGTGTCAAGAAACTCCGCTATTATTGTAATTAGTACATACATTGGTGGTGGCCAAACATTTTCCCGTACCCAGTCAGCTCGTGTCATGGTTTTCAGGCACATTCAGCTGGGATCGACGTTCGAGAAGGATATTATAAGAAAAAGTCACATACTTGATTATTTCACGATGTTGAGACAAACTGCAAGAAAACGGATGTGCGAATTGAAAATCGGAGATACCAATATCAAGCAAGTACAAAAATATACTTATGAAATGTTTTGAGGGCGGAAAATGTGACACCGAAACCCGAAGCTGTGTTCAGATAGTCAAGTATTCATTCCAAAAGATAGGCAGTGTACTAAGAAATAGAAAAAAATCTTCGCTATAAGCAAGTAAAAGAGTACTAAACTATTACGTGATATCTGTCCTTCTTTACGACACTGAGTGCTCGGCAATCTCTTCATAGATATAGAAGAGACTTGAAGCAACAGAAATGTGGTTCTACAGAAGGATGCTGAGGATATCATGGACCGAACATGTGAGCAGCAACAAAGTTTAGAGAAAATGGAAACAAAAACGAAACATATTAACATTAAGAATAGATAGTTGAGGTTGGTAGGCACATAATGAGTAAAGGTGATTTGAAAATGTGACACTCACGGGTCAGACTGAAGGCATGGGTGGCAGAGGAAAACAACGCATGGCATACTTAATTGGCTTGAGTAAATGGATGGCGGAAAAGGGTTTTGGAGAGATAAGGAAAATACAAAATGTAATAAGAGCTACAAAAGATAGGAAGTTGTGGAGAACCTGATCGCCTACGTCCTGATGGGACTCGGCACATATAGAAGAAGGAATTCATTTAACCACATAATCATTTAATCAATATTTCGGAACTAAATGCTGCTTACGAAGACAGGAGTGACCAATGGTTACGCCCAATCACACTGATTTCTTTCAATAAGGTTAAAGCATTGAATATAAATTCCAAGTCGGTTAAGACAGATTTCCCAAATGCTAAAAGAGAACTTCACTATATTTTCACACAGAATCGCAATATTCTTCACGAAATCACATTGTCATTTTTCCAAAGAGAAACTCTTAGGCCTTGGGTTCACCAAATGTATCTTGACCGCATGAATCTACGGTTACAACGGGACTAGCAACTAAGTTTTATTGTTTCACTGTTGAAATAGCTAGATGCGACTGCAATTTC